GGCAACTAGAAACAATTTAATAATATAAGAAACATATACTAATATGTTTTGCACAAAAACATGAACTATCCAGGACTAACGACCCTATTCTGAGGGATTTACTGTCAAAGTTCAATACCAGTATGCAATTCAATTTAGTAAACCTGTCTTAAGATTATTAAAGAAAGTTTTATAGGATGAACCCCGTCTCCCCCATGTAGCAGGAGAAATACAAACTTACCAACCAGAGTAAATTACTCACGCATGGCTCTGATACCGAAATGGAAGTTCAATTAATTAAATCAGAACAAGATAAATTATCCGCAACAATAATGAATCTTAAATTAGAACAGATTTTAGATCAACCTGATCTAGACGAACTCAACGAATCACAGAATAATGAATCACAAAACAATGAGAATAATGAGAACAACACTCTTATTAATTCCTTACAAAAGGCCATTATCCATAAATGGTTTATCTCTATAACATTAGTAATCTAAAAATCATAAGTACTGCCAAATCTTACTGCTTTAGTAGACAGCAGTGCAAACATGAATTGTGTCCAAAAATGACTAATTCCATCAAAATATTTTGAAAAAACTACTCAAAAACTAACTTCAGCTAGTGGAGATAGTATGCAAAGTAAATATAGACTATCTGAAACAGTAGTATGCCAACAAGACTGCTGTATTAAAATCTCATTTTTATTAATAAAAATATATCTCAACATATTATACTAGGAACTCCATTCCTATTTAACATTATGCCAATAACTACTAATATTAAAGGTATCGTATCTCATTGTTGCGATCCCCCTCTCAAATTTAGATTTATTACAGATCCTAAAGAGATCATACTAAATGAAATGAATAAATTCAAAGGAAAACAATTACATATAAACTATTTAACTAAAGAAATTAAAGTAGCTGAACTAACTAGCCAGCTGCAAAAATTTGAAATTAAACAAAATATTTTGAACTAGAAAAATATATTAAGAGTACTGTTTGTGGTGATAATCTTATTAGCTTATGGAAAATAAAGACTCACTGTGTCAGTCTTCCTTATATTGATGGATTTGACGAAAGACAAATACCTACAAAATCTCACCTCTCACAAATGAACAAAGAATATTTAGACTTTTGTCATAAAGAAATTACCGACCTTTTATAAAAATAAATCATTAAAAAATCAAGCTCCCCTTGGAGTTGTACTCATTTTATGTTATGAATGCAGCAAAAAAAGAACGAGGAAAACCCCGTATTGTAATAAACTACAAAATATTAAATAAAGTCTTAAAATGGATAAGATATTTCATTCTTAATAAACGAGATCTTCTTAATCGATTAGCACAAGCTAATCTATTTTCAAAATTTGACTTAAAATCTGGATATTGGCAAATTCAGATTAAACAAGATCGTTATAAGACTGCTTTTACAGTACCATTCGGGTATTACGAATGGAACGTAATGCCCTTTGTACTAAAAAATGCTTCGTCTGAATTTCAAAAAATCATGAATAAAATTTTTAATCCATACAATAAATACATTCTCATCTATATCGATGATGTTTTGGTCTTTTCAAAACATATAGACAAACACTTTAAACATCTAAAAACCTTTATTTGGTTAGCTAGACAAAAATAGTTTGGTCATATCGGAACCTAAAATAAAAAATTTTCAAACTGAAATATGATTTTTGATCATAATATAAAAAATGATACTATAACTCCTATCCACAGGAGTATAGAGTTTGCAAATAAATTTTCTAATAAAATATTAGATAGAAAACAGCTTCAACGATTTCTTGGTTCTTTAAATTATGTATCTAATTTTTATCACAACCTTTACAAGGATGCTGCACCCTTGTTTAAGAGACTTCGAAAAAACTCTCCGTATAAAAGCAGTACAAATTATAAAATATCATGTTAAAAATCTTTCTTGTATTAATTTAGCAAATCTTACTTATTTAAAAATTGTGGAAACTGATGCCTTCAACTTAGGGTATAGAAGTATACTTAAACAACAAAATCATTCAACAAAAAAGGAATAATTAGTTTGTTTTACCTCAGGATTATGAAATCATACTCAAACTAAATACGCTACCATTAAAAAGGAAATGTTGATTATTGTTAAATCTATCAGTAAATTCCAATACGATTTACTAAATACTACTTTTATTCTTCGCATCGACTGCTCTTCTACAAAATTTATTTTACAAAAAGATATTAAAAATCTAGCATCAAAACAAATATTTGCTACCTGGCAAACCCAACTAGCAATTTTTTATTTTTCTATAGAATTTATTAAAGATAAAGATAACTCTTTATTAGATTTTTTAACATGTGAATATCTTACAGGAACTACAACCTAACATGGACAATGAGGGGTGGCGCACCCCAAAAGGGTGCTCATCACCATCCGTCCCACATCAAGGACGACAATGGCCAACTCTCCACGGCAATCTCCGTGGTAGAGGACGTGGTCCAGCAGGCCGCAGACGAGGAGAATTTACTCCTCCAAAAATGGTACCCTTAAAAACTTATCTATATGGGGTAAAAGAGCCCAATTAGCCGGAAAAAACTTCCGAAAAAATCAATTCCGAAAAGGCCCAATCAATGGCCCAACAAGCATCCGAAATGTTTAAACTCATGCTCAAAATGAGTGTTTAGCACATTTTACACCTAAATATTAAAGATAACGATATAACCTCCCCTTGGCTTATCTTCAAAAAATATTTGAATACTAATCCATTTCTTCAAGACTCCACTTACGACCGAGAAACTTATGAAGCTATTCTCGTTTATCTTCAATGCATCGAAGTTCAACATCATTACGACGATAAACGTAATGTAACATATAGCCGAGCTAACATTCTCAGGATAATTCATCCTAAAAATTGAGGGATCACCCCTTTTCAAATCCAAAAATTTGATATTCCATTACCTAATGTTAATATTAAAACTTGTTCTTTTAATTATTGGACATACATTCAAGCCATGCACAAAACATTTTATGTGCTAAATCCTACTCATTCTCATTCCTGGATGTTCATTCTTAATCCCAAAATATTAAACAACCCAATATCCTCTTGGTTTTATAAATGGTGGGAATATAAAGAAGCAATTATTCCTATTTTACCACTCAAACTACAAGCCAGTTATAATATTTGGGTTGATTCATCTCCCCATCTTCAAGTCATGAAAACTGAAGATTTTATAGACATAATGGGTGAATTTTTCTTTCTTGCCCAAGCACAAATTTACTGGATATGATCTTGGAATCTTGAATTTAATATGGACTCCTTAAATATTAAATGCCTCATACGCAATTTTTTTGTTAAATGGTGGTCTGCCATTATAGTTGGTGATAAAAAGAAGCATATTGATAAGGTAATCCAAAATAACCTTATCAAAACTCAACGGCAACCTCCTGTTGCAGAATTTTCTTTGAAAAATCTACAAAAAATGTTTAAACAACATTATCCCCATGAATCCCCTGAGCAAATTAAAGTTCATCTTCAAAAGGCTTATTGGGAGCAGATGACCCAGTTATTTCCTAACGACGAAGAGATGGCCTCTCAACGCTCTGATGATACAATCCCTGACACATGGAACCACCCGTCGCTCAAAGCCGAAGATGCAGGACTAAGTCATCGTCCTGGCAAAGCTCCACTATCAGAAGAGACATAAGACTTTTAAAAAGAGCTTGACAGGCAGCATAATGGAATCAATAATACTGCCTTTCTGACGTGTTATATTCTCCAACATAAAAGTGGGTCATTAATCACCCACCAGTTGTTAACAGCTAATAAAGTGGAGAATAAAGTCTATAACTTTTGGTTTAATAGATAAAATAATTGAACTAGCATGTACACAGGAGCATATAATAAAGTTCCCATAGAAGTAATATGGAGAATTCTTGAAAAAAAAGGAGTTAATAACACTTATATTCAAATCATTAAAGATATGTATGCAGGAGATATTACTTGTGTTCAAACACTAGATGGTTTGATCAAGTATTTTCCTATTTCGGTTGAATTACATCAAGGATCCGCCTTAAGAGCATATCTTTTTGCTTTAGTCATGAATATTCATACTAGACATTTGCAAAAGGACGTAACTTGGTGTATGCTTTTTGCTAATGATATTCTGGTTGATATAACTAGAGAGAGTTGAAGGTAAACTTGAATTATGGAGGTCAACCTTAGAGTCTAAAGGTTTTCGCTTGAGTAGATCTAAAACTGAATATATATAGCGTAATTTTAGTAGCAATAGCCCTAGTGAGGAGATTGTGACTTTGGGCGATCAAGCCATTAATAAGAGTACACATTTTAGATATCTTGGATCTATTATTCAGAGGGATGGTGAAATATATGGGGATATTATCAGCAAAATTCAAGTTGGATGGTTGAAGTGGAGGGATGCATTGGGCTTATTGTGCGATAGAAAAGTCTCCATCAAAATTAAGGGAAAATTCTATAAGATGGTGGTGAGACCTGCGATGCTTTATTGTGCCGAATGTTGGCCATTAAACGATAAGCATAATACTAAGTTAAGTGTTTCATAGATGAGGATGCCTAGGTGGATGCTTTACCCTTAGAGATAGGAAACGAAATGAGCATATACTTGAAAAGGTTAGAGTAGCTCCAATGGAAGATAAGATTAGAGAGTCACCTTAGATGGTTTGGTCACATTAAATGGAGGCCTTCTGATGACCCGGTTAAGAAAGTTCAGGTATTAGATTTAACTTATTGTAGAGGTAGACCTAAAAATACTTGGTTATAAAATATTAAAAATGATCTTTCTTTATTAGATTTAAATGAGAATTTGACTTTTAAAAAGATAATGGCGAAAAAGGATTCATATAGCCGACCCCACGTAGTGGGACAAAGACTAGTTGTTGTTGTTGTAGTAGTGATATATCACAACTTTCTTGTAGCAATCTGTGAGGGAATCTTTTGATGATTCTTATGCATGAGAATGATGAGTTTCCTAAATATGACAGTGACCGGAGAAATACTTGTATTCATGCGTAACGTTCTTGGTGTAGGTGAACGTAGTGGCATTCAAAGCTGCGCCATCGATGCAGTTGAATCCTGCCCTCTAGCTTCACCAGAAGACTAAAATGGAGGTTCCTGTTGAGACGTTGCAATCAGAGTTAATGTAGTTGTTCTTCCTTGTATAAATATTTCACTATGCTTAATGTGTTCAAATGGTTCCTAAAGACCACGATCAAACACTGCCAAAATAAGCAAGATTCATCCTTAAAACAGCTTTCTTAATAAGAACTGATTGCCATAGCATTAACATCATATGAGCAAGCAGAGGAAACTTAAGTGGCTACAATAAATTTAGGCTTCATTTGGGACAGCTTTCTCACTGGTTCTTAAAATAGTTTTTTAGTACAAAAAATTTAATTTTTGTACTGAAAAATTGTTTTAAGAAGCAACGAGAAAGCCGTCCGAAATGAAGCCTTAATCATTATTTATACACATCAAAAGCACCAAAACATCCAATTGAGCTTTGCCTGTAATCTTAAAGATGAACTATCCTGAAGCTTGAAAAGTAGGATCATCAATCTTACACAAGCAAATTTTAATAAATGATCAAGGTTTATATATTATTTCAGCTGTAATAAGGTTTTCCTCTAGATCAAGAAAGAAAAATATCTTAGTTCTAGTTTATGAACATCACCTTCAAGCATCAAAACAAAATCTATACCTCTGACTTTCAATTGATATATTAAATTAAAATCTGGTAAGATAAACAACCTAATGCTTTCACATTAAAGTAAATTCTTCATGGAAACTTAATTTTTCTAGTCACCCTTACCCTTAATAGTATAAATCATTGCTTAACTTAATTGAGGATCTATCTGGATGACATTTGAGTTGAATACAGAAATTTTATGTTAGTAGAAGCTCCAGAAAAATATGATATAACATAAGCTTTGTTTAAATGTTTGTACTGTATTCATTTTCAGGACTTTTTCCAAGGTCTTTTGCATGGCAGTTCATAACCTTCATTCAAGCCAAAGCTCATTCCAAATTATGTAAGCATTAATTTTGTTTCTTTTGTACACAATTTCCATGAAATTTACAATAAGTGATTGAAAAGTTTATTGTTTGGACATTTGATTCCTCCATCCTAGAGTGCTCAAAATATTTTCTTTTAGGTATGATGGCATATTATTGATTAAGAAGTTTTTGCTCTGGTTCTTTTATTTTCTTCTGGCTATTCCCAGCATATTACGTAGCAGGACTGTGCAGTTAAGCAATTTCTAGCCTACTGGCATTCTCAAAAAGCAAGTTGAAATTAATTAACACAGATGGGATGTAATTTAAGATGTCATGTTTTCTACTAAATTGTAGAGAGATTTCTATTGCACATGCACATATAAAAGGATGTTTTCCATCCTGCTTGTATTTTTTTATACTCAAGGAGGTTGCTAAAAGCAAGGTATAGCTGCAAATACTTGATGCAATTGGAAACTAACCATGTGAAACAACACATACAAATGGATGACTTAGTTTCCCCACATTTGAAGATATTCACAAGGTTTTGAAAACCGGACCGGACAGCGAACCGGAAGAAGGAGAGGTTCACGGTTCGACCGGTCAAACCAGATGACGTAATAAATAATAATATATTAATATTATAAAATTTATAAAATGAATTAGACATTTTCCTCTAATAACTTCACTCTAGCTACATTTCATTTTCATATTCAACTCTTCAAATAACATAAGTATTGCATCAATTAAATTTATAAAACATAAAAAATAACACAATATAAATGTGACATTAAATAAGTCAATAAAATAATAAAATATAAACAAATATTTTATAAATAAGTAAATAACTAATCAAATAAAAACTTTTTGAATGCATACCTTTTGTCAAGTGTTGGGTTTTGAGGAAGAAATCTTCTATAATACGATTTGGATTTTTGTAGTGTTGCTTGGTTTTGCCAGAAGCATATCTTTAAATACAAACAAAAAATCTTTAATTAATCTCTAAAGATATGCCAACAGGAATTCATAACCTTGAATAAAAGTATAAAACTACAATCTGTCACTGATATGCCAAGCACAAAAACATTCAAAACATGGGTGCATCGTTAAAGAAAAAGAAAAACACATTCATAATACATATATAGAGTTTAGGGTGTTTCTCTTAATTAATTCCACAAAAGAAAAATATAGAAATCATCTCCTAGATTTGAAGCATCAAAAGTTATATCTCTAAATCCCTGGACAGTACACAAGAAAATTAATCAAGGTTTTATTCCTGTTATCTGTCCAACCATCAGCCATGAGTGTGCAACCTATTTCTGACCAAGATCGTTTGTATGAATCAATCAACAACTTGCATTCCTCTTTACAATCTCGTAGAAGATTAACTCTCAATTTGTAGTATGAAGGCAATTTATATCCAGGTCCAATTGCAGCTATAGCATCAATTGTCTTTTGAGCAAAATTAGAGTTTATGTCATTCAATGGGATGCAACTGTCATAAAACCACCGCGCAACAGCTAAATCAGCACGGTGAATGGCTTCTTTGGATGTCATTACACTTTTCAATGATGGCTGAGAACCTGCTTTAGTTCTTGGTGCAAAAAAAATTTCTATGTTATCTAGCTTTCTCTTTCCTCTATCAATGCCTCCATGGTGTGCATCAGAGGATTGAGATTTGGGAAGTGATGAAGAGCCTCTTTCTTCTTCCATACATTCATCCACAAACACAGCTGTGTTCTGCTCTAACTCCTCTTCGGCTTGTTTTTTCTTGCCTATTTCTTTCAAATTTTCTTGCATCTGGTAACGAACGTCATGTGGGACTTTCTTGCACGAAGCTATGTTACCTCTGATTCCTGCTAAATGTTGCTTTATCCTATTAATTCCTCCACCTTTATAAGTAATCCCATAATGGAGGCATCTAAATTATTTTTTCCATCTAGTCCTTTACTTTCAGTACAATGACTACAAGCTATATCATGCTTCTCACGCATAGTTTGAGTCGAAGTTGTTTGTGCATCCATTTTAGAGTACTATGTTCAAACTTCAATAGCTAAAATAATAAAATCAAAAAAGAAAGAAAGCAACATGAAAAAAAGCTGGAAATATGATGCTTTGTGGAATAAGCAAAATTCATGGGAATAATACACAGAATTACGAGGCATATTGAAGAATAATAAGTCTTTTGTTCTCTTAAATACATTCTTGAAGGGACTGTTCGGTTTCAGAAAAAACAAACGCATAATTATCTATCATCTCATTCCATTGTTTTAGCAAAGCCGAGTTTATCATTTTTTCATTAAATGGTGTCAACTAATATCTCCTAATATGTTTTTCATTACTAATTATATACATTGACTCTAATTATAAGATTTATGTTCTAGAAACAGAATAAAAAACAGTGGGATAACCACCACTCAAATTAAAAATCAAAACACAAAAATTTATCTCATAATATTTACAGTAGGATACAAAAATCAGGGGAAAATAGATAGAACAAATAGACCGTCCAAGATCAAATTAGAGAATCAAACAACTGAAATCACATATCTGAAAAATAGAAATGCATGAAGCAGAACAAATCAACAAACTGATATTCTGCATAAAATAAAATAGCTAATGCTCAATAGTTTAAAGTTTAAAATATTAAACTTCACAAAGTCTTGAATTCAACGGTCAAATCCAACGGGTATTTACTAAAATCCTAGCAGCAATCATACTTCTGGTATAATGTCGAACAGATAAGATCTGGGAAGAGGAATGCATGAGTTGTTCAAAGAAAACAAAATGGAAAGAGGGAGAACAGAGAACTGGAGAAGCCGAGAATACAAAGATACCTGAGAAATAGAGATGGCACGAAAGAAGGCGTCGTTCGTCCGTCTATCCCCGTCGTTCGTCTCTCCAAGTCGTTCTCAGCCGAGGCTCTCACGCGTTCGTTCGCCAGTCGCCTCTCTGTCTCGGCTAGGTAGGGTTCGCGAGAAAGGGAGAAAGAAGTTGCGCGTAAAAGAGGCTTCGCCTCATCATATTCGAACAAAAATTTTTTTCAGCCGCTAGATTTGCGATGAACGGCCAAAAATCATGAAGTTTGAAACCGGCCGGTTCTTCCAAACGGTTATGGTCCGGCGGTTCAGCGGTTCAACCGTTATTTGAACCGGTTTTTGACCGGTTTGAATGCAGACCAATTCTAATGATTGACCCGGACCGACAGCCTGACCGGTTCCCGGTTCAACCGGTTGAACCGGCCGGTCCGGTCCAGTTTTTAAATCGTTGGATATTCAAGTAAAATGCTTCTTCCTCCATCTCTTCAACTATCCTATTCGCTATTACTTACAACCAGGAAAAATGATGGAATTAACGATGATTTCTCAATGGAGTTATATTTTAGTTTTCAAATTTATTAAATGAAAAGAAGTTCTCTATAATATTGTACTAAGATACACGTAAACATATACATGTTATATGTTCAGTGAGACAGCGAATACCATTCACGTACTATGTTTCTCTCTATAGCATTCAACACTCTCATTAGATATGTCATTATAGGAGTTTATTGAAACACATACAACTAAAGCAAGAAACACTTTTGAAGATGCATTTAAATGTGGTTTTGATGATAACATTGGCGTCTAAATGATAGCTTTTTTATGTGTCATTACATTGTGTCACATTAGATGCTAATCACATCATTTAAAAGTGATATTCTATTAATCTTTATTGAGGCGCTTAGAAATGTAGTTTAACATAAAAATAACTTCAATGACACAAAAATTATCAACTTTCAACATCATTACTTCGCAAAATTCTAATTAATTTGATTGTATTACACATACAAATACATAGTTTAACTATTTGTTAATCTAATTTTAATAAATAAGAACATATTAATGATACAAAAATAAATAATTTAATATATATATATATATATATATTTAAATTTATTAAAAACCTTTAAACTCAATTGAAAAAATAAATAATCACATAACATTATAAATTACTAAAATTTATTATTTTCTTAAAAAATATAAAAATATATTTTTAAAAAACCATTGAAAAATAGAGTGAAATAAGGAAAATAAAAATAATGTTAAATTGCAATTTAGTTATTTAAATAATGCATTTTAAAATAAAAAAGAATAAATAACTAAAATTATTTATGCAATTTTATAATATATTTTAAAATTAAAATTTTTTATCCATGACATATTTGTCAGGCAAATGTGTCAGTTTTTTTTTTTCTTTTTAATTGAAAAGGTAAATGACACGTCCCACATATATCAAGCACATATCAGAAAAGTGCATGTGTTCTTTATGTGTTTGCAATATTAAGAAGTATTAGAACATCATAAATGACTATTTTAAATGCACATAGAAGTTCTCTTTTTTCATTGATAGGAATAATGTTTTAAATTCAATATCTAATAATCGTACCTGTTCTTCAAATGCCAGAGAAAGTCTTTTCACTTCCTCTTAAAATGCCTTAACCAATCTCTGGCTTTCTGCATAAGATGATTTTCAAAAGATTTGATAGCTAAGAAAGGTATTTCTCCAAAATGATCTTGTCTATTGAAAAAATAATGACAGATTGAATACCAAAATGACAAAAAAAAGATTAATTTTAGTCACCTGAAAGATTGACATTTAAATTAAACAAGCTCATCTAATATTGCAATTAAATTGACATACCAAAAGGATGATTAAACAACAGAAAACAGTTAGGGAAGCAAAAGGGTGAATAAATGAGAAATATTTGGCTCAACCCTGGTCCTAACAATTGCTTATCATAGCAAAGAGGCCAAGAAAGCCATATTTAATGTATGCCCAACACACATTTGTGTGCCACAATATTAACCTCTCCCGTGGAATACCACGCCACACCATTGCTCAAGGTGGAAGCGCTCGGCCTCGGGCATAATAAAGTTGGTATAACTCCAACAAAGAAAAATAAATACAATCATCAAAAAACTGTGGGTGGTTTGGGATCACTTTTATATTTTTGTTTGTTTCTAATTTTGCTTCTGTTTTTTCCAGAAATAAAACATGTTTAGCATCTTAAAATATGTTTTTGTTTATTTATGTGGTGGTGGTAGAGCTCTCCAGTAAGGTAAAGGCAGCGAACAATGAGGTGATGATATTGATCTTTAAAAAAACTCCAAACATCTAAAATTCTTATGAGCATTTTAAAAAATATATATTTATTTGCAAAAATAAAAATAATATTTTAAAAACAAAATGCCAAACATATATGTTTTTTTTAAACCATTCTCGACAAGTTCCACCAAAAACAAAACGCTTATTTTCTAGTAGAATTAAACCAGAAGAGTTTTTCTAAGCGTTCACATGAAAAGCAAATATAATGAAGATATTCATAAATGTGATGCAAATTCAAACAAGTTCATGCCCCTATCACGTATCTATTGGAAATCCAAACAATCTTCTACTATTTTAGGATAGGATTGCACATATGTTGCTTCAACATGAGAAAATGTACTATTACCAAGCCAATTAGCTTAATTCACAAAAGAGTTATAAAGGGGGAACAAACAAAACCCATCAAAGCAACTGCAAAACTATAATGTTGGCATCTCATTTAAATAAACACTAAGATATAGATGCATAAAATCACATAATAACATAATAACACAATATTGAAGAAATTTTTTATATAAACAACACTATGAAACTGATGGGACATCAGAGCATAGAAAGTATATCAGAGGCGTGGCCGTCGATCTACGGACACGATCGAGTCTATGTATTTATGAGTCATTTCATGTATTTGTTTTTCTTTATTATGTCATGTGGCTTTTTATTATTTATGTGTTTCTTGCTTTCCTGTTTTACCCTTTTATTAAGGGATGTCGTATGTAAGCCTTAGGGGCATTGTTGTCCTTTTATTTTGTGAGTCTTTGTATGAGGCTATTTATAGCCCTATTGTTCTTCTTTTCAAGTTAATGAATGATTAAAAAAAAAATTCCACAAATTTTGAGTTTTTGCGTAAGCTTGAGAAATCGGAGTGAGATCTCTAGGAGAGGGAGGATTATGCATCACCCACCAACCTAGACAAGTCGGGTTTGTGGTTTTACTTGTTATCTTTCCCCTTCCGTTTCCCCACCACCACCACCGGTCATACCTTCCACTTCCCCACTCACGGCCAAGCTTTCACCCTCACTGAACCCTCTCCCCTCCTCCCACCGAAAATCCCCTTCAAGCCCATCATGTCGCTGGCCCTATCCCACCCCCTCCTCTCTTCCATCATTGTTCACATTGATTCCTTTTCCTAATTTGGATTTGGTAATTTTAGGTAACTCAAGACTTTTCAAAATTCAAACTTATTTGAATTTGAAAAGTTACCTAAATTATTTTTCTTATTTTAGGAAACTTTCCAAACCCTTGTCTTTGAATTTAAATTAATTTAGGATGAAATATCTCATCCTAAATTTAAGTCCTTAATTTAAGGAAGCATTAAAAGCTTCCTTAATCATTCCCTCAAGCCTTTAATGCCGCCGGAATTGTTTCCTAAAACCAAATTTCCACTTTGGAAACAATTCAAATCTCCCTTCTTCCCTTTGGCCAAATCCTTCCCTAGCCCCAACTATTTAATTTACTTCCAATAACGGAACTCCTCCACTTTGAAGTAAATCCACCCCACCCCACCCTCTCTTGCCGCCACCCCCTCTTGCTCTTTCTCTTCCTTTAATTATTTTCAATTAAGGAGATAATTAGGAAGTATTGAATTAGATTTCCCCCCATCTCCCCTCCCAAAATCTGAACCAAATATCTCCCACTAACCCTCACCCTTGGCCGGCCACCTATTCTCCTTTTCCCTCTTGATTTCTCTAGCTTACCTCCTCCATATCAAGAGGAGTCTTCGAGGGAAGCCTCAATGATCTTCATCACATCTTAATCTCAAGGACATGCATGGCCGATCCGGAACGTGATTAAGGCCGATCCTACGACAAACAAGGATTTGTTTGCATTCTTCACTCTACCTTTTCGACGTCAACCCGCGCATCGACAATACCGTAGAAGAGTATGTAGAGGGACACCCTGGTTGAGGCTATTGAAGAACAACTCGGCACCGTTCAGTGGAGAATCACAACTCAACCATGATAAGGATTTGCCAATCTTTCTTTTCGTGTATTTTCATTGTCTAACTTGCTCTTGTGATTTGATAGATTCACGAGGATCTTGCTCACCAAACTCTGTCGAGCTTAGTAAACGTAAGGATTGAGTGCACTTCATTTGTTTCTAATCTTATTGTTAGATTAGGGATTTTTCGTTGAAAGCTATTATATTTGCATGACGTTGATTTTCTTTATTATTCTGATAATTCAAAGCTCTTATTGTGCAACTTAGCCTAAATGAAAGTGACCGTCCTTACGTTTTATTTTGTCGTTTTTATTTGCTAAAAGTTCTAATCATTAATATTCTAATCAATAAGTCGTGCAAGTTATTATCAAATTACTTTAAGCATTGTAGTCCTACATCAGAAACAAAGAAGATTAACAGAAAATTGCTTGATAGAAAATACAATTCAAAAAATCAGTACAACAAATAGAAAAGATGCATTGCGCTTATTTACCAACTAAAATCATATTAGCATATTTTTTCTTTCTTTTTATTCCCAAAAGCCACAAATAATAACAATATTCTGCAGATTTCAGTTTAGACAAAAAGCTAATGTTCAAAACATGCATTAGACAAGTTGGATTTCTCAATTCTTAATTCATGTCAAATGATTATTTTATTCTACATGATTAGTCTGAACTAATGATAATTGTGCTAGAAGAGCCATATTTGTTACAGAAAGGGATGCAACAATGACCATGACTTTGGCCACCTTATTTGAGAGGTAGATGAAACTAAATGGATATTGTAGACTTAGGCTTCGTTTGGGACGGCTGCAGCGGTCGGTAAAGCAGGTTATGAAGTTGTTGTCCAGAAAGTTGCTTTATAAATTTGTTGTACGTAAATTAATAAATTTTGTTTGGGTAGTATAACTGCCGAGCTGCTGTGATGCTACTGTATAACAACAAATTACCTTGATACCCTTCTATTTATTAGCATGAAATTTTTTTTATTAAATATAAATGAACTCTTAATTTTTTTTTAAACTAAATATTTTATGAATTTTAAATATAAATAAACTCTTAATTTTTTAAAACAATGTAATATCATATTTTAAAATAAACTAAGAAAATATTTGATAGATATGTATGGAAATTACTATTTATAAAGGACATTTTTTATCAAGTAAATTGCAGGCAAGGAAAAAACGAATTAGCAAAGTACTCTTCAGAGTTGCAGGCAACTGAAGAACTCTTGAGAGGTCTTGTGTTCAGCAAATTGCAGACGTATATGTGAGAAGCTCAGCTGATACATAGAAGAAGGCCTAACTGCTCAAGATGAAGGGTAGGATGTCTCTCCTCACTTTAGCTCTCGCCCGCGTCTCTTTCCTTCTTTTCCCTTCCCCACTTCACATTTTCACACGCGAGAGAACTTCACTTAGGAATCTCTACTCTCTCAAATGAATTTCTAAATTTGGATCGTCTCAAGTTTGAGCGGATTTGGGTGATTAATATCTCTGTAAACAAGCAGGATAGAGGAATCTCCTATAGTAAGTAGATCATTCAAAGCTCAAGAACTAACGAATCATCGTCGTTGTCATCGCCGACGGCTTCGGTAGCGCCGGCGTTGGCTCTGTCCAACTCAAGGAAGAGGATGGAGAGCACGGGAAACAAGAAGAACGTGAGGCAAGTGGGGCCGCACAACAATACGGAGCTGCATCTGGCGGTAAGTGTGGTGATCTGGTGGTAATGCATAAGATCATGAGCGAGATCGATTCGCAGATGATAGGAGGCGGGAGGGGGAGGAGTTCGACGCCGATCGAGGTGGCGGAATATCTTGAAAAGATGAAGGATAATTTTGACATTTTAGCATTTCAGAATCACGGAAAGCAGCGAACCTTGCCAGAAATTTTGGGTCGCAAAAAGCAGGCTACGTACATGAAAATTTCTCTACCGCCGGCGAAACGCATCAACCCAAACAGAAGGTGGCTCGCGTCTCAAATCGTGCCGCAGTGGAGACGGCATCCCAAACGGACCCTTAGGCTTTATGTGGAGCTAAATTGCCAAAAGGGTTTATGTAGAAATTAAGACTTAGGCTTTGGGGTTCCTCAAGAGAAATTTTTAGGGTATTTAAGATTTATTAAGGATTCTAATAAGGAGCTTTTAGAAAACACTAAAGGGTTATATGATTAATAGAAAAAGGAATGCAAAGTATTTCAAATGTAGTGGATTTAAAATTCCGGTTGCTTTATTTGATGAAAAAGGTCAATAACCAAAACAGCGGAACTCACTAATCCTAAAGAGGATTTTGCAGATACCAAAATTCAGAGAACAATAAAATAAAGAGCTGTCTATACATTGCAATAACCATCTTTCAAAGACAAAATATGATAGATGTATATGATTTCCATGCCTATAGCAAAAACTTGCAAAGAATAAAATCTCATTACACAAGAATGAACCTCACATCCAATGATAATCCCTGAGATTGTCTTTCCCAAAAAGAACAAGATAGAGAAAAGCACAATAAGCCAAGCACCGACCGAAAAAATAAAGCAAAAACAATGCAATCGATCATCCATAAAAGAAATCTTGATTCAAATGCAATGGTTATTTCGATCCACTGATCAATATACTATCAGATTTTAAAGACCAGAAAGAGAAAGAAGAAGAAGATGATAATGATACCCACATGCGAGAGGTGCTCGGCTTGTGCATGAGGGAAACCGGTCAGGAGATGTGCCTCCTGCGTGTGAGTGAGGAAGGGAAGAAAAGAGAGTGTGTGAAGGCCAAAGGAATTTCTTGCCTACAAGAGAGGGTCAATCTGGAGCTTCTTGCGTGCGAAGAGAGGGGTTGAACTATTCGAATGAGAGAGAGAGAGAGAGAGAGAGAGAGAGAGAGAGAGAAAGAGATCGAGTGTGTGAGTGTGCCGTCCAAACAGCCATACTTATACCCAAGAAATTTCTAATAAAAGCTAATTATCATTCTATTTTCCCCCTTCTTATTTTTTATTGAGTTCGAGGGATCGAGTGTGTGAATCAAGCGAGTTGATTAGATGTTGTTACATTTAATTCATGTGACCATATCAACCTTAATTAATCGAATTACAGTTTGATTTTGATTTTCAAGAAGGGATCGCGAGTTGATTTTGCCTCGCCAAATACGAGGTCAGTGGGCTTGTGATGATAAAGGAGTATTAGATGTCAGTTTAATAGATGGTGTGATATATGCATGAAAAGTAAAGGGTTTACAGTAAGCAATATGTAGAGTGAAGGATATGAATTGTTGACCCTCATATTAGTGTCGGGGTCGAGTCGACCGCGCAAGGTGGGTTTTAAAAGAGAAAGAGCTCGAAATTGCTCAAAAACTCACCCGACGCGTGTCGACCGAAAACCCAAAATCGCCAAGATGACCTCCGTTCGCAAAACGGACAGCGCCGATGCGTCCGGAGCAACAGAAACAGCTAAGATCGACACCCATATTTGTGGGGGTCGTCGGTCGGCGAAAAATTAAATTTTGGGCGTGCGAATCGAGACGACGACTTGTGCGAGCGACGACGCGACGACCCACTCGATGCATAAAAAAAAATTATTTTATTGTGCAATATAATTAAATTTCTTTTTTTAGAAAGAGAGGGATGGTAATTCACTAGAAAATAAATCTTGTTATGTAGTGTAAATGTTAGGTACAAACATTGAAATTCAAAGAGAAACAATGTTGAACATTCGTCTGTTACCAATACAACGAACAATATGTAAAAACAATAAGGGAGATTTACATAAATACCACCCTATATTATTTTAATATCAAATATACCACCCAAATTTCCTTACTACCACTCATATATTTCATTTCAACCACTCATATTTCATATAAAAATGAACTATGGGTGACATGTGTGTAATATTAAAGTTTTAGGTGTTAAATATGTAAATAGAATAGTATAAAGTGGTATGTATGTAAATCTCCCTATTTTTAATTATAGCTTAATGAATTAATTGTTTGAGCTCTAATTTGAATTTAAATTTATGAATTTGAGTTTATGAAAAAAAATTATATAATTATGATTCAAATAATTATTTAGTGATACGTCATGCAAAAATTATCTTGATCGGTCACGAATCTCGAGGCAAAAATCAAGTTGAAAACTTCAAAAATTAAATCGAGAGCATCTGAACTCCGATTTCTGCAAACTTATAGTCAAACTGAGCGTCTCAAAAATACGAACCTATCAACACCAAATTCAACTCAATACGAGCCCAAATGAGCCCAAATCGAGCACCCGAAGTGCTGTTGGAAAGTTTGTATCACAATTTAAGTTATCAAACGGTCTCCGAATTTGATGAGCTTATAGTCGAATCGAGTGGCTCGACGAGACAAATCTAACGAGCCCAAGATCGCCGAATTATGTCATCATTAAGATCTTCAAATATCTGACAAACGGTGTATAATCAAGGGAATCAATATCAACCATCCATTCGACCACTCCCTATTTGACCCTGATCTCACGCCTATTTACAAGCTATGTCACTCCATAAAATCTATAAATAGAGCCCTCATTCTTCACAATGGAGGACGCAAGAAAAGAGAAGGGAAGAAGAAGAAAAGAAGAAGAACAGAAGGGGAAGGAGAATCAGCTCCTCCTCGGCCACCGCCGGAATTCTTCCCGCCGCCCAAACACATCGAGATTCTGCGGGATATTCGGGAGAACGCCGGAATTCTGCCCAACTTCCATGTGATGCTGAAATTCTTCCCAATTAACGACAGAGTTCTCTCCTGACGCCAAAACACCGCTCAAGTCCGGAGTTATCCTCGTCCACCAACAGACGTCGGACTCCTACCCGACGCCGGACCTTCACTCTTTGCCAAGTTTCGATCCGACACCGGACTTCTATCGGTTATTGAACTTTCGTTAGACATTTATTCGAAGATGGATTTCTTCCCATTGTTAGACTTCTCCCTGACGCCATCCTTCTGACCTTCATCGTCAGACACAGTCCTTTCAACCTCCGTCGCCAGCCGACCACAGTTCTCCTGACTTACGTCGCCCGCCGACTACAGTCCTTCCGACCTCCGTCGCCAGCTGACTACGGTCCTCCTGACTTACGTCGTCCGCCGACTACAATCCTTCTAACAAAGCGAATACGCCAACAGTGACTCTTTGTATTCCCAACATGTAATGTACTTCATATAATGTACATCAAACCCATGCCTTCCTCAAAGGAAGGGCCTCATTTGTAATTGACTGCAATACTAGTGGATTCATTCAAATTGGGCCAGGCCCCGTAGTTTTTCCCCCTTTTCAGGAGTTTTTCACATAAAAATCTTGGTGCTCATTGAATGCTACACACTCTCTCTTATCTGATTGTGTGCCGGATTTTTGTACAATGCTAAGAAATTAATTTTATATTTCTCTACCGCCACGAATACTCCTGGGTGCAACAGTTTGGCCCCATCTGTGTGAAAGTGATTCCCGACTAAGGGGCAATTTCGCTCCAACCTCAAAAGGTCATTCATTTCAACTTCCTGACTTCAGCCATTGCTTCATCAATTTCATGGAAATTAGATCCGGACTGGGGGGCAAATTTGACTATAATTTTAGTCAAGAAGATCCCTCCAAGATTTCTAAAACCAACACAATATTTAAGGAAACTCTCGGCAAATGCAAGGAAACTTTCGATAAATTATAAGGGAGGACGCAACAAAAGAGAAGAGAAGAAGAAGAGAAGGTGAAGGAGAATCAGCTCTTCCTCGACCACCGCCGGAATTCTTCCCGCCGCCCAAACACATCGGGATTCTGCGGGATATTTGGGAGAACGCCGGAATTCTGCCCAACTTCCATGTGATGCTGAAATTCTTCCAAATTAACGACAGAGTTCCCTCCTGACGCCAAAACTCCGCTCAAGTGATGTCGGAGTTCTCCTCGTGCACCAACAGACGTCGAACTCCTACCCGACGCCGGACCTTCACTCTTTGCCAAGTTTTGATCCGACTCCGGACTTCTAACGGTTATTGGACTTTCGTTAGACATTTATTCTAAGACGGATTTCTTCCCATTGTTAGACTTCTCCCTGAATCCGTCCTTCTGACCTTCATCGTCAGAAACAATCCTTTCAACCTCCGTCGCCAGCCGACTACGGTTCTCCTGACTTACGTCGCCCGCTGACTAAAGTCCTTCCGACCTCCGTCGCCAGTTGACTACGGTCCTCCTGACTTACGTCGTCCGCCGACTACAGTCCTTCCAACAAAGTGAATACGTTAACAGTGACTCTTTGTATTCCCAACATGTAATGTACTTCATATAATGTACATCAAACCCATGCCTTCCTCAAAGGAAGGGCCTCATTTGTAATTGACTACAATACTAGTGGATTCATTCAAACTTGGCCAGGCCCCGTGGTTTTTCCCCCTTTTAAGGGGTTTTTCACATAAAAATCTTGGTGTCTCATTGAATGCTACACACTCTCTCTTATCTGATTGTGTGCCGGATTTTTGTACAATGCTAAGAAATTAATTTTATGTTTCTCTACCGCCACGAATACTTCTGGGTGCAACAGTTTGGCGCCGTCTGTGTGAAAGTGATTCCCGACTAGGGGATAATTTTTGCTCCAACCTCAAAAGGTCATTCATTTCAACTTCCTGACTTCAGCCATTGCTTCATCAATTTCATGGAAATTAGATCCGGACTGGGGGGCAAATTTGACTATAATTTTAGTCAAGAAGATCCCTCCAAGATTTCTAAAACCAACACAATATTTAAGGAAACTCTCGGCAAATATAAGGAAGCTTCCGATAAATTATAAGGGAGGACACAGGAAAAGAGAAGAGAAGAAGAAGAAGATAAGAAGAAGAGAAGGGGAAGGAGAATCAGCTCCTCCTCGACCACCACCGGAATTCTTCCCGCCACCCAAACACATCGGGATTCAGCGGGATATTCGGGAGCGCCGGAATTCTACCCAACTTCCATGTGATGCTGAAATTCTTCCCAATTCACGACAGAGTTCCCTCCTGACGCCAAAACTCTGCTCAAGTGATGCCGGAGTTCTCCTCGTCCACCAACAGACGTTGGACTCCTACCCGACGCCGGACCTTCACTCTTTGCCAAGTTTCGATCCGACACTGAACTTCTACCGGTTATTGGACTTTCGTTAGACATTTATTCGAAGATGGATTTCTTCCCATTTTTAGACTTCTCCCTAATGCCGTTCTTCTGACCTTCATCGTCAGACACAGTCCTTTCAACCTCCGTCGCTAGTCGACTACGGTTCTCCTGACTTATGTCGCCCGCCGACTACAGTCCTTCCAACCTCCGTCGCCAGCTGACTACGGTCCTCCTGACTTACGTCGTCCGCCGACTACTGTCCTTCCAACAAAGCGAATACGTTAACAGTGACTCTTTGTATTCCCAACATGTAATGTACTTCATATAATGTACATCAAACCCATGCCTTCCTCAAAGGAAGGGCCTCATTTGTAATTGACTACAATACTAGTGGATTCATTCAAACTGGGCCAGGCCTCGTGGTTTTTCCCCGGGGTTTTTCACATAAAAATCTGGGTGTCTCATTGAATGCTACACACTCTCTCTTATTTGATTGTGTGCCGGATTTTTGTATAATGCTAAGAAATTAATTTTATATTTCTTTACCGCCACGAATACTCCTGGGTGCAACAGTTTGGTGCCGTCTGTGTGAAAGTGATTCCCAACTAGGGGGAAATTTTCGCTCCAACCTCAAAAGGTCATTTATTTCAACTTCCTGACTTCATCCATTTCTTCTTCAATTTCATGGAAATTAGATCCGGACTGTGGGGAAAATTTGACTATAATTTTAGTCAAGAAGATCCCTCCAAGATTTCTAAAACCAACACAATATTTAAGGAAACTCTCGGCAAATGAAAGGAAGCTTCCGATAAAT